AGGTAAACATCCTTCTGGTATTCTCTGCTTTCAGCCAAGATCCACCAGACATCAGCAATGAGATCTCTCGTTCCACGGCCTCTTCTGAATCGAGCTTGAACCTCTGGAAGTTCTCTGTCAATGTATGTTGTAGCCGTTTCTGTATTACCTTTAGCAAAACTTTACTTGCTTGAGATATCAAAGAGATTGTCCGATGATTTCCGCATTGTTATACTTAGGGTTGTATATAATTTGGTTCTCATGCCTTCGTTTTCTACAGCTTCAACTTGAATATGAGCAATTGAGGGGCTGCTCTGCATTCTCCCCCTGACCTTGTTATGGCTGACAATGAACTCCATCACCTCTTTCTACAGATATCAACTGGATTTGTGTATTACCTAGTTTATTAGTCTTGTAAAACTATCATAAAATCTGTCATTTTCTATCATTTCAACGACTGATCCTAGATTCCAACTTTTGTGTTCCAATCACTAGTAATTATCAATGCATCATGATTGTTATACTACTACAGAAATTGGTAAAACCCTTCAATTTCTTTATCTGTTGTATATTTGTGGTTGGTACATAAATGTGATTAACTCAAATTAACTTGTCTTCCGTTTAAGTATATGGATAGTTTCCATCATTGGCAGTTACACTTCAGGATAGATCTTAAAATGTTGACAATGAATCAGGCACCGTTTGTCAGTTTCTAGCACAGATGATTGTGTTTGTCTGATTCATATTTCAGCTTAAGTATCAATCTTCAAGTGTTCCATTGCATGTTAGACATTTCAGTTTTCCTAGATTCATATTTTATACTCAACAATGTTTGTAGCTCTTCTCAATGAGTCGAGCCACATGACCATATGCATGTCTTGAAAACTTTATTCCATCCACGTCATTAAAGTCAACTTTTCTTGGAAGCCCTATATAGGATTGCTGAGTCAGGATCAACTGGATGGTAGAGTTTTGGCTATTTAGAAGCAGCTCTTCCTAGTCACACTTCAGAATGCCTTCCAACTGGAAGTGCTTATCTTTCACTTCTTAGCAATGTTCTGCTGCTATTTATTGATCAATTCTTTAAGTAGATCATTAAGCCCTTCTTCCTATTCTAATTGTCTGAATACTCTGCTGAAACCTATCCATTGGCCCTGGACATGTTGATAGCCAACTTCTAGCATCACAGGCCCGCTAGTCACCAAATGACAAACTGACAGACCATTGCCCTGAGATTAACCTAGGCAATATCTAACAGCTGCTCTCTCACCAGCTTTAGACACACAAGATCACAAGTACACAGGCATGCTGTAAGTTTGTGTATACTTAGCAGTTCAGAGGTGTAATCTATGCCTCAAAACTTTGTTAGCATCAGTCATTTGCTGGTTTCATGTTTAAGACACTACAAAACACACATTACAAAGATCAGACATCTATCAGTTTTATATCACATGCCCTTCATTTAACTAAGAAAAAGAGGAACACAATTCTAGTCTTCAATTTTTCAAAGATTTAAAAAAAAAAAAATCCACTATTTGTATGAAAAACAGTTCTAAGTAATAAAGGCAGAAGGTGAGGCGTGCTGATGTTAATTTCGTCAACATTTTTGGTGTGTGGGGGTGGGGGTGGGTAGGGGGAAGGAGACACACCACCAACTTAATAACCAAATTCTCCAAAACTTACAGCTTATAACACAACTTTTATTAGAAAAGTTATACATAACATAGCATCAACTATTTTCAAGAACATTATTAAACCCGATAAACAATAAAAACCAGACTACCAACATGTGTAACAAGAAACTAATGACCTTTCTATAATCAAACATTTAATTATCTACAATGTCTTTTTACAAAGGGGAAAATCCGTGGTTTACAGGCACATCATATTGAAAATAAAGCTGCAATATCAATTTTATACAATTACCATTCTTAAGAAACTGAATCATTAAAACAGTAATTACGAACTCACAAATTTAAAACATTTCACATAATTTTACATAATTGGGTACACACTCAGGTCTGAGTTTCAAGCACACTCAAGGTCTGAGTTTCAAGTGATTCCCCCCCGCCCCCCTAAAAGTGCCAACACTTATGCTAGAACTTTCAGTGTGAGTAAATTTTGCCCTAGAAAGTTAAGACACGTTTTGATAATCAAATAATCACATAATTTCTGATGCTATCTGGTAGGCTAATAAAATCTTAATGTGGACATGTTTCTTCACTTAAATGACAGGAAACCAGATAATAGGATTTCTGTTGCAAAGTTATTAAAATAAAGTCCCAAACACAGGAGTGTACAGCATTGGAAAAGAGAATTGAACTAAAACTTACAATAAATATCAGATAAGCCATTCATTTTTACAGCACTGTCTGCAAAAGCCTAAGTCCACCAGGTGTATAATTTCCCATCAATCTGTACCTTTAATAGGCATGGCATAATTTTTATTTTCATGATCTGCATATTCAAATATATCGAAACCTCTTTTGAAAACTTTGATTTATAGGTCCTGGAAAGTTATAAAAAGTTTTTAATAGTCAGTCTACTATTAAACAGAAAACAGTCTTTCTATTCATTTTGGAGTCTCATTAAAACAACAGATTTCAGGATAGCAAGGGTCATCACGAGGATTCAAACCGGATGATATACAAAAGAGAACACTTTCAGCAATTCCTATCCTCTTCTAGCGGAAGGGAACCAGTTACACCATAATTTCTTATCCTTGCTCATTATGGAATTATACTTTAAAACATATCTCAAGAGGATGGCCTTGCAGGTACCCATCACTAGGTACAGTCGTTAACAACGAAAGATTGTCCATGTTTCTGATGGGAAAAGACAATTTCTTGTATCAAGACTTGTACCACAGTAAAAATTGTCAGGCATTCCCCCAGACAAGTTTACCTTTTTAATGCAGTAATGTAGAACTAGATTAAAAATCATGACTTTTGACTGCTACTCAACATTATTACATGCCAACAATATTGCACACATCTGTTCTGAACTGTGATCATTATCTTTAGGGTCCTTGAGATGCTTGATTTCTCCATCAGAACACAAACACAATCCATAAAAGCAGTTTCCTTAAGGATGACATTAATAACTTTAAAATACGGGCGGAAAAATGTAGAAAGGAAAAGGCAGAGACTTTGTACAGACAAAATCTAACATTTCTTTAAGGATTTTGTGTGCCCTACACATTGGGGCAATTTGTACACACTAGTGACACGAACACTAGCTATACTACTTCCAGATGCTCATATGATATGAAATCTTGGTCCAGGGGTGGCGATGATGTCACTGTATGGTTCTTCCTGGGTCAGCTCAATAGCTTGCTGCTTTTTAAGAACCAAGAAGCTGTAGAACTTTGCTGCAGCTTGCTTTCTGTTCGTGTTTCGACATAACTCAAGCAAACTGATAGATTCTGCTCCAGTTTTAGCAAGTGCCCGCTGAAACAAAACAGAAAAGATCATTAAATGACTTTCACAATAATGTAAAATTTAAAAGATTACTGAATTTGGTCACTGGAAAATATGTATTGTATATTCTGTTAGCTGCTGGAATTGCATTCTTAAAATAATCATTCTAATTTTAAGGTGAAAGACTCTTTTAATCAACTGTACAGAATAAAAGGAGGACTACTAAACTTATAAAATGGAAACACACTAAATTTTACAGAATCACTTAGTCTACAATCTCCTGTACCGTCTTACTCTTTGTCAGTTTGAGGCGTAGGTTCTTTGCTAGAGGACTGAATAGTAAGTGATTTTCATAATCAGCAGAAGGTATAAAGGACAAAAGTGTATTATTCTATGTCTAAATTCCAAGGAGATTTTCTGGATAGTGCAAATTGTTAATATGCTTGGCTGCTCACTGAAAGGTTGAAAATCAAGATTACTCGGGTACACAGAAAGAAAGGCCGGCAATTCACTTTTGGAAAATTCACCAATAGCTGAGCCTACAGAGCATAGCTCTACTTGGACACCCATGGGATTGTTATTAGGTGCCATCAACTTGGTACTGATTCACAGCGACCCTATGCACAACAGAATGAAACACTGCACAGTCCAGGGCCAACCTCACTCACAACTGTTGCCCATGCTTGAGACCACTGATGCTGCCAATCCATCTCGCTGGGGGTCTTCCTCTTTTTCTCTGACCCTCCACCTTACCAAACATGATATCCTTTTCCAGGTCCTTCCTGACAATATGTTCAAAGTATGAGAGACGAAGTTTGGTCATCCTGGCCTTCAAGGAGCACTCTGGCTGCACTTCTTCTAACACAGACCTGTTGGCTCTTTTGGCAACCCATGGCACTTTCAATATTCTCCTCCAACACCATTAACTCAAATGCATCAATTCTTCTTCCTTATTCACTGTTCAGCTTTCGCATGCATATGGTTATTGAAAATACCATCGTTTGGGTCAGGCGCACCTTAGTCCTCAAGCTGACACATGACGATCGAAAAGCCTTTACATAGTTAATAAAGCACAGGTAAACAACATCTTTCTGATATTCTCTGCTTTCAGCCAAGATCCATCGGACATTAGCAATGATTTCCCTCATCCCATGTCCTCTTCTGAATCCACCTTGAACCTCCCTCTGGAAGTTCTGTCAATGTATGCTTGCAGTCGTTTCTGTATTACCTCTAATAAAACTTTACTCACATGGGCTATCAAAGAGATTGTCTGGTAATTTCCACATCCCGTTGGGTCAACTCTCTTTATAACGGGCACAGTAAATACTGATCTCTTCCAATCAGTCAGCCTGATAGTTGTCTTCCAAATTTCTTGGCAGAGATGAATGAGTGCCTCCTGTGCCGCCTCACTTTTTTGAAAGATTTCAATTTTTATTCCATCAATTCCTGGTGCCTTGTTCTTTGCCAATTCCTTCAATACACCTTAGACTTCTTCCTTCAGTATCATTGGCTCTTGATCATATGCTCCCTCTTGAAACGGTTGAGCATGAACCATTTCCTTTTGGTGCCATGACTGTGCATTCTGTCCATCTTCTCTTGATGCTTTCTGCATCACTCAATAATATACCCAGAGAATCCTTCAATAATAATAATCGAAGCTTGAATTTTTTCTTCCGTTCCCCCAGCTTGAGAAATGCTAAGCATGTTCACTTCCTTTTTGGTTTTCTGACTCCAAATCTTTGCACATTTTGTTGTAATAGTTGACTTTGTCTTTTCGAGCTGACCTTTGAAATTTTTCTGTTCAGCTCTTGTTCCTCCTCATTTCTTCCATTTGCTTTAGCATCTCTACACTGGAGAGCAAGTTTCAGTGTCTCTTCTAACATCCATTTTGATCTTTATCTTCTTTCTTGTTTTCTTAATGAGTTTTTGTTGTCTTCCTGTATGATGTGCTTGATGTCATCCCACAAGTCTTCTGGTCTTCGGGTCTTTAGTGTTTAATGTGTCAAATCTGTTCTTCAAATGATCTCTAATTTCAGGTGGGATATATTCAAGGTCATATTTTTGCTCTCGTGAACTTTTTTTCATTTTCTTCAGGTTCAGATTGAATTTGCATATGAGCAATTAATGGTCTGTTCCACAGTCTGTCCCTGGCCTTGTTCTAACTGATGTTATGGAGCTTTTCCATAGTCTCTTTCCGCAACACATGGGATTACTGAGTCAAAGGCGACTTGATAGTAACTGGTTCCTGGTTTAAGATCAGAGCATGAAAGCCCAAAACTTTAAGTCGTTTCAATATACATTATTAAAGTAAGTCTTTTGTTTTGAGCATGTGATATACAACAATATTTCCAGTTCTTAAAATTCCAATTTTTACAAATAAGTATATATTAATACATCAGATAGTGCTATCTTGAGCATCTGTGAAATGCCAGACACATTGCTAAGGCCTTCCTAAATGAATTCTTCACACTGGACCTGTCCTTTGGCTTCACTTTAGGAAGGCTTGAACACTGTGTCTGGCATTTCACAGATGCTCAAGATATTGCTTATCTGATCAAATAAAAGCATATGGATAAGTGACTACACAATGATGCAAAAATATAATGATTTATCATATTAAAATTCAACCCCAGAGGACACATACAAACAATTCCATAAAATGTTACCACAGTTTTACTTTTCAGGATAGCTATGGATAAGTTTTAAAAACCAAAGGTACTACTTTAAGGACTAAGGTACTCCTGACCAAAGCCATGGTATTCTCAATGCCCACAAACGCATGTGAAAGTCTGACAATTCACAAAGGAAGACCTAAGAAGAATTGATGACATTAGTCTGCCAGAAACATGCATAAAATCTGTCTTGGAAGCAGCCAGAAGGCTCCTTGGAAGCAAGAGTGGTTTCATCTCACAGTACTCTGGACACAATTCTTGGTGAATTGAAGGGCCAGTAAAAAATCTTAAAAGTCTTCAATGGAAGATTCTTTTAGATCAGTAAAACACAATGGCTGCAGCAATGGGCTCAAACACAAGCACAACTGTGAGGATGGTGCAGGACCAGGTAGTGCTTCATTCTGCCGCACACAGGGACGCTATGAATGAAAACCTTTGAGACCCAATACCACAGGAAGGTATGCTCCTGCAAATAAAGCACACAGTAGTATATGGTTTTCAGGGCAAACCATAAACCCCAAGCATGGAAGTTTCTTATGCACAAAATGTGCATGTCATATGTGAAAACTACAGTATGTGTGACTTAACAGAGAGTTTATGTATTTAAAATATCTTGAAAATGGTAGGTTTCACATAGGTATGTGCTCTGGCTATAACATATTAACTTTTTTTCCTTTTGTGGAAGCAATGCCAGGCTTTCATGAAACATTTTCCTCTAAGACCACACACCACATACCTGAAGACCATGAAGCATCTGCTGAGTTCTTTTGTTCCATCTTCTTTCTTCTTGATCCTGATCACCCCCTGAAGCATCTTCATCCTAAATGAGAATGACAAAAGCAAAAAGAAAAAACAAAAAAACCCAGCTGAACACAAAACTGTCTGCTGCAAAACGAAAATATTTCAGTATCCCCTGAGTGCTAATATTTTAAATTTGTATTTTGGCAAGTAGAAAACTATATGTGATATTTCTGAAAAAAAAAATCACTTAGTATCTAGGAATTTTTCTTAAACTAGGAACATTCTCTGTAATCTTCAAGCAGACATTTGATTGACTCTGATTCTACACTGCTTTATAAAATTGTGGTCTATCAGTGTGGTCCACAGCTCATCTATTGGCTATTGTTCCCTAAGACACGGCATTGGTGTCACCATATAAATAAATTATGTCACTAAGCACATGACTTAAATCCCTACAGCACCTCCACATTTGTTAAGTCACTCCACACTTAACCCAGTTTATTTTAGTCAAGTTATATCCCAAATTCCAATTTAATTAAAAACAAAACAAAGCCCATACAAATAGAAAAGGTCTGGTTATCTCACTTCCAGGCCAGACAGGGAAGAGGTTACTGAGGCAAAGGCTAATAGCAGTAAGAATTAACCACTGACCACAAGACAATAAAAAAGCAATTTAAAAGTCAAGTAGGCAATCAGTGAATGACATCAGTCCCCAAAGCCCACAGGAGCCAGTAAAGTTACAGCATAGCATCAAACCTGACAGATTCTTAAGGATGATGATGTATGTACACCACTAAGTTTGTTTGCATTCAAACAGTTTTCATCATCTGATGATTAACATCAATTAATTTAGCGTCAGCATGAAGAAGTAAAAGAGGTTGTTGAAGATTTTTGATATATCTGGAATAGGAATTTATTCATCAGGCATGTCTTTTACACAGTTTCCTTACCTCCTCCTCCTCCTCTTCTTCTTTCTCCTTCTCTTTCTCCTTCTCTTTCTCGGGCAGCAGTTCTAGCTCTGGTATTAGCTGACAAAGACTTGGCGGCTCTTCTGGGGGAAGCTCTACAGGAGGTATTTCCATGTGCTCTGCTTGCTGAGGCTTCAAGCAATAAAAACAAAGCAATTCAGGGTTTTTTAAGGTTGACTTGTTTTAAATATGCATATACATAGCTGTAGTTTGCAAGGTGGAAAGGAATACTGGGGTTTTGTTTCCAAACATTACCCACATTCAAAACTTGTTTTTAGCATATACCATATGTCATTTTCTTTTACTGCAAAGATAGATTAAAAAAGCAGTTAATAAAATTCATCTATTATTATCTTCAAACAAAAGCTATCATTTCAATATTTATTCAGTAGGAATCAAATTTTGAAGTCCTTAGGAGAAATCTGCAAATAAAACTTTAAATAGTAAAAACAAAACTCACAACATTTTGATGTAGTATTTTATAAAGAAACAACTCCCCTACCCCCGATTCTCGCTTCCATGAAGGAGCCGCTGTTGGATTCCTGGCCAAGGCTGACCTAGGAAGGGCGGCTCTTGTGTTAATTATGTGCTGCACAGGTTTCAAGAGAACTTTCAGACCAGACAAGAAGGCCGGGTGACTGACTTCTAAACATCAATTCACAAAGGCTTACTGGTCATAACATTTTGACTTCTAGCCAAACAAGGGGACGGCGCAGCAGTGGGCAGCACTTTGTCTATTTGTATTTAGGGGTCGCCATGAGTTGGGGGATGACTCCATGTCAGCTAACGACACACGAAGATTAATAAGCTCAACACTGTCAACCATTACTGCATAAAATCTTTAACAAATCATAAAAGTGACAGGAAAATAATGGCCAAAACGGGAGTGGTGTTGGAGTTACCCACTCCTAGGTTCATACAGAAAATGCTCTTACTGACAGCAATTCCTTAACACTAGAGAACACAGAAGACTGCTTCTTAAAGTTGGCAGAACATTCTCCTGCCAACAACTCTTAATAGAGGCTGAACAAGTAGTCTGAGGTCACAACAATTGATTTATTCTAAAGAATTAAGGCTAGGAAAGTCCAAACCAGATTTCATTCCCTTTACACTGAGTAGCCAGGTAATGCTTTACTTTTTTACTGCTATCTGACAAGTATATTCTCATTAATTAATAAGATAGCCTAAAACTGTACAGATTAAAGTTCAGAATCAGACATGCTCACTTGGGAACTCTCTTAAGCAAGACCCTATCCAATATTAAGAGTTGGAGAGATGTACTAAATGATCATCTCCCATTGTGTTTACATCCTCAACTGCCAATCTATCTATCTGACTCCATTCTCTGCCTAAAGAACACGGTATTTCAAAGGGGCTCCATGCTACTACCACCAGGAATCCACAGCGATTCTCTCAGCACTATCAATTCTGTAGATGGGTAATTTACTTACAGGCATCGTAGGCTCTGGGTCAACTTGTCCGGCCTTTCGCTTAACTCCCTGAGGTGGTGGTGGAGGCATGGCTGATTCGTCCAAGTTTGTTCTGCTGGCTTCCATTACTGACTCCTGGAGGTGGCTTGGCTCTTCCAAAATGGGCTCATCTACAATGGGTCATAAGAAGAGTTTAAGGCCCTAAGTCTTAAGACAACATTTTAGAATCATTTACTTTTGACACAAACACAGTAAAGTATTTTTTTGCTAATGAAAAAGGCCAAATAAAATTTCAACAAAGATTACACAACTTATAACAATATATTGAAAGGTAGGGCAAAAAAAAAAAAATCAACAACAAAAAAAACAGCCCCAATACTGCTTAGTCAACTGTGACCCATAGTGACCCTCCCCCCTACAGGACAGAAAAGAACTGCCCCACCATAAGGTCTCCAAGGCTTCGGATATTTACAAAGCAGACTGCCCTGGCTTTCTCCTGCAAAGTGGCTGGTGGGTTTGAACTGTTGACTCTTTGGTTAGCAGCTGAGTTATCAACCACTGTGTCATCAAAGGCGCAAAGGGCTTTAAAGGGATTAAGTCCAACATCTAGTTCAATGTAAGACAATTTTTAAGCAAACTGCCACTTAAGACAGTCTCCAACCTTCTGGAAACAGAAAGCTTTGTATCTAACAAATCAATCAGGTGCAATGCATTTTTCTGTCAAAAAATTTGAGGTTACGTTCCCTTCCTGCAAATGTCTTTGGTTTTGGCAACATTCAATTTTAAGTTAAACACTCCTTTATTTAAACTGGATAAAGGAATAACAGAACAAACCAATAACATCACGCTGCTGCTGCTGCTGCTGCTGCTGCTGCTGCTGCTGCTGGTCCTCTCTGGGAACCTCTGGATTTTCAAACTCTTTGAGGAATTCATCCAAATTATCAGCCTCTCCTCCTTTCCTCCTTTTTCTAAGGTCTTCTGGTACAAGTGGTGTAAGACAGCGTGTAAAGAGCTGTTAAAAAAAAAAAAGAAGAGAGACTTTAATTATTAAATAAATCACAGTAACTGGAAACCCACCATTTCTATTTTGCCTCTACATTTTTAACAGAGGTATAATTAGTATAAACATGATTTAGCATATTCTACTCGATTTGTGTTGGAAGAAGTGCAGCCAGAGTGCTCCTTGGAAGCCAAAATGGCCAAATTTTGTCTTTCACACTTCAGAAATATTGTCAGGAGGGACCAGTCACTGGAGAAGAATATCATATTTGGTAAGGTGGAGGGTCAGAGAAAAAGAGGAAGACCCCCAGTGAGATGGATTGGCCAAGTGGAAGCATCGATGCACTGAAGTGTGGCAACAACAGTGAGGCCGGCCCAGAACCGGGCAGTGTTTTGTTCTGCTGTGCATTAAGGTTGCTATGAGTCAGTACTGACTCGATGGCACCTAATGACAAAAACAACTTGATGTACTAAACTAATTATACCTGTTTATAAAATATAAACTTAGGAAAAACAGAAATTAGTGTAAATAAGATTTAGCATGTTCTACATATTATTATCCACCACTCGTCTGTCAGTTTATCGTGCTGTGGTGGATTGTGAGTTGCTGTGATTCTGAAAGCTATGCCACCGGTATTTGAAATACCAGCAGGGTCACCCATGGTGGACAGGTTTCAGATGAGCTTCCAGAGGAAGACAGACTAGGAGGGAGAAACGAACTACTTCCGAATATTCAGTCACTGAAAACCTTATGAATAATAGAAAATACTGTCAGATATAGCACCAGAAAATCAGTCCCTCAGGTTGGAAGGCACTCAAAAAGCGACTGGGGAACATCTGCGTCCTCAAAGTAGAGTTGACCGTGATGATGTGAATGGAGGAAAGCCATTGGGACCTTTATTTGATGATAGGGAACAACTCAAAATGAAGAGAAACAGCTGTAAACATCCATTAATAATTGGAACACGAATGTACGATGTATGAATCTAGGAAAATTGGAAATTGTCAAAAATGAAATGGAACGCATAAACATAGATATCTAAGGCATTAGTGAAATGGACTGGCATTGGCCATATTAAATCTGAAAAACACACGGTTTACTATGCCAGGAGTAAAAAATTGAAGAGGGATGGGGTTGCATTCATCATCAAAAAGAATATATTAAGATCAGTCAGGAGGTACAATGCTGTGTGTGATTGGATAATACACTTGCATCAATAGGGAAACCCAGTTAATACACCACTATTATTCAAATTTATGCACTAACCACGGAAGCCAGTAAGGACGAAACAGAAGAATTCTACCAAAGTCTTCAATCTGAAATTGATCAAATATGCAATCAAGATGTATTGATCATTACTGGTGATTGGAAAGCAAAGGTTGGAAACAAACAGGAAGCATCAGTAGTTAGAAAATATGGCCTTGGTGATAGAAATGAAGTTGGAGATTGCACTACAGAATCCTGCATACGCCAACAATTTGTTCATTTCAAATACTCTCTTTATATAGCATAAGAGAGGATTACACACATGGACTTCACCAGACAAAATACACTGAAATCAAACTGACTACATCTGTGGTAAGAAATGATGGAAAAGCTCCATATAATCAACCAAAACAAAACCAGGGCAGACTTTGGAAGAGACCATACATTGCTCATATGCAAATTCAAACTGAAGCTGAACAAAATGAAAACAAGTCCATGAGAACCAAAATATGACCTTGAATATATCCCACCTGAATTCAGAGATCATCTGAAGAACAGATTTGATAGATTAAACACTAAAGACCAAAGACGAGAAGAGTTGTGGGACGACATCAAGAACATCATAAATGAAGAAAGCAAAAGTCATTAAGACAAGAAAGAAGGAAAAGGTCAAAATGTACGTTAGACGAGACACTGAAACTTGCTCTCCAGCGTAGAGATGCTAAAGCAAATGGAAGAAATGATGAGGTCCAAGAGCTGAAGACAAAATTTCAAAGGTCAGCTCGATAAGATAAAGCCAAATATTACAACAAAATGTGCAAAGATCTGGAATCAGAAAACCAAAAACGAAGAACATGCTCAGCATTTCTCAAGCTTGGGGAACTCTCAACTTTCGTTATTGAAAGATTCTTTGGGCAACCTATTGAATGATGTAGAAAGCATCAAGAGAAGATGGAGGGAATACACAGAGTTACTGTACCAAAAGGAAATGGTTAATGTTCAACTATTTCAAGAGGTAGCGTATGATCAAGAGCCAATGACACTGAAGGAGGAAGTCCAAGGTGCACTGAAGGAATTGGCAAAGAACAAGGCACCAGGAATTGATGGAATAAAATTGGGAATCTTTCAAGAAAGTGAGGTGGCACCGGAGACACTCATTCATCTCTGCCAAGAAATTTGGAAGACAACTATGTGGCTGACTGATTGGAAGAGATCCGTTATTTGTGCCTATTCCAAAGAGAGGTGACCCAATGGAATGGGGGAAATCATTGGACAATCTCTTTCATATCCCAATGCGAGTAAAGTTTTACTAAAGGTAATACAGAAACGTCTGCAAGCATACACTGACAGAGAACTTCCAGAGGTTCATGACGGATTCAGAAGAGGCTATGGAACGAGGGATATCATTGCTGATGTTCAATGATCTTGGCTGAAAGCAGAGAATATCAGAAAGATTTTTACCTGTGTTTTAGTAGGCAAATCTGCTGCACAAGAGCTTTTTAAAAAAGTGTTGAAGAGCAAAGATGTCAGCTTGAGGACTAAGGTGCGCCTAACTCAAGCCATGGTATTTTCAAGAACCTCATATGTATGTGAAAGCTGGACAGTAAATAAGGAAGACCACAGAAGAATTGTGGCTTTTGAATTATGGTGTTGGAGGAGAATATTTAAAGTACCATGGGCTGCCAAAAAGAACCAACATATCTGTGTTGGAAGAAGTGCAGCCAGAGTTCTCCTTGGAAGCCAGGATGGTCAGACCAGTCACTGGATCAGCATATCATGTTTGGTAAGGTGGAGGGTCAGAGAAAAAGAGAAAGACCCCCAGCAAGATGGACTGGCAACGTGGCAACATCAATGGTCTCGAGCATGGCAACAATTGTGAGGTTAGCCCAGGACCACGCAGTGTTTCTTCTGTTGTGCATAGGGTTGCTATGAGTTGTTGCAATTTGATGGCACCGAACAACAACTTCATATTATTGAGTCCTGGTGTGGCACTGCGGGTTAATGACCCGAACTGCAGGGTTGCTATGAGTCAGAATTGACGTGACGGCACTTAAACAACAATTTAACATGATAGTCACAATTAATTTCATCTTAAAGTGAGATTAAATATGGTTTTCAAATGATAACGATTATAATTTCAGAAGCTGAAAATGATGAAATTTTAATGTCTCATAATTCAGAGACAACGCTAAGATTCTTAAGTTTTTTAACCTGCAATATGTTTCATGTAAACATAATTAAAATGCAACTAAACTAGAATCATCTAAAATAGCTTTGCTGCATGCTTTTTCTATCAGTTTTTTAATGACTGCCTAATATCCCCCAAGGAGCTCTGGTAGCATAGTGGTTACAAATCGGGCTGTGAACCACAAGGTCAGCAGTTCGAAACTATCAGCAGTTCCACAGGAGAATGATGAGGCTTTCTGCTCCCATAAAGATTTACAGCCTCGGAAACCCTGTGCAGGGTCGCTATGAGTCAGAACCGGCACTTAACAACAACAACAGCATCCCCCAATGAGTAGATACGTAACACGATTCCTCTATTCATTTTATTTATTTGGGGTTTAATTTCTTTTATTTCATCCAGTTTTCATTTAAGTTTCTCCCTGCCAACTCCACACAAATGACTTTTCACATATTCTACATAGTTCTTTTAAGGAAAAATGCAGATCTTCTGTACCTTATTTGGAATTGTTTAGAATCCGAAGAGAGCAGAAAATTACCTATAAGTGAAAAACTACTCTTATAAAGTCAGTGCTTTTAATTGTAGGAAAAAATAGAATCCCCAGTTCACTCAAGGGAAAAAACTGCTGATTTGAAGCACTGTATACATGAAGGCAACAGAACAGCTAGCTGATTATAAGATGCCGGAGAGAGAACCTCTCTGTCTTACCTTCAGTAGTCTATTATTCCATAAAGGCTGAGCAGGTAAAGAGAAAAGTTTTTCCACACCTCCTGTCTCTTTCCACATCATCAATTTCTTTGTGGGTGGTGCCAGATCCAAAGTAGTAACAATATCAGAATAATCACTAAGTTGTGCTCTAATGGTCTTGCTATCCAACTCTTTGACACTATCAACAATCAGTTTCCTCTTCCTCTTGGCTTTTGTTTCTTTAACTGGGAAGATAGAAGAAAAAGAGTAAGGCCATTTCCATCCCCCAAAAGGTCAGCAGTTTCAATCCACCCAACTACTTCATGGAAAAAAGGATGTGATAATCTAATCCCATAAAGACATCAACCATGGAAACCCTATGGGGTGGTTCTACTCGGTCTCATAGGTACACAATGTGTTAGAATTAACTTGACAGCAATGGGCTTGTGTTCTTGCAGTAACTATTTCTCACTGTAGGAGCTGCTTTCTTACACAGAGACTCTAGTAGAAAAGCTAAGACTGGTAAGAGTAAGGATCTGCTTTATAAGTGAAAGTTGTGCAAGAATGTACAAAACAGGCTGATGCACAGTTGACAGCTATGCAATAAAAATGTGATATGTGAACGTTTAAAGAATTTTCACACAAAATTGGTAAATTAACACCAATACATTTTCTAATTGTCACATTTTTTGAGGACTACAAAACAGCAAAAGGACTGTTCTATATTCTTATTTCACATTAACTTGTGTTTCCCCATGCTACCCAAATTATAAGGAGCTCTGGTAGTATACTGGTTACAAATCAGGCTGCTAACCTCAGGGTCAGCAGTTTGAAACTTCTAGCTGTTCCACGGGAGAAAGATGAGGCTTTCTGCTCCCATAAAGATTTACAGCTTTGGAAACCCTGTGCAGGGGTTGCTATGAGTCGGGACTGACTCCACGGCACATAACCACGACATCAAATTATAATGCAATAGGAAGTAAATTCAAGAAGTAGATGGTACTTGGCTACCACTAATAACTGCTCTGAAAGGGATCATATTAGATGGGTCTCAGAAAGAACGTGAGAAAATGTGGGATAAAACTCAATTGAAAAAAAAAGAAAAGATCAGGCTTACTGGTTAGAAAGAGACTGGAAAAGGGCCTGAGACTATGGCCCTTGACCACCCTTCAGGTCTGAAAAAGGAACTCACCCTTGTGGGGTAAGTTTCAGTCATAAGAAGGGTATGGTATATAGTAGGGACAACACTACTAAGGTATGACCACCATGGATTGGTGAATCATTCAAAATCAAAAGGGCAGCATTTACCTAAGGACAAAGTTGAGAAAGGAAGGGAAGGAGGGTGGAGGAAGTAGGATAACTGTTGTTATAGGGCGGGGATTGCAGTCACTGAGATGAAATAAAGTGTATGATTTGTTGAATGTAAAACTGATGATCTTTTCTGTAAACCATCAATTCACAGTAAAGAGTTAAAAAAAGAATTACAAACTCTATGGTAAAGTAGAAAGTAACTTAGTTTCTGAAATGATAGATTAGTGAACATCAAGAGCTAAAACTAGGATCTTACGTACTAAAGCTGTAGAAATGAAAAGATTTGCTTGCTCACCAGTGATATCAATAGGCTCCAAAGCAAAGGCTTCCTCCTCGTTTGGAACAAGTGTTGTCTGATCAGTCATAGTTGGCATTGGTTCAACAGGATCCACTGAATCAGGACTATCAGGCCCTCCCACTACAAAAAGAAAAGTACTGTCAAAAAATGCATGGTAAGACTTATCATAGAACAAGGGGTGTGGGATGTGTTTGTGAAATGAAAGGAAACTCCATTGGCACACCTAGAAAGAGCACTTTCTGGTTACGAGGCAGCACCTCCAAAGTGAAAACCAACTGGCTAAGAAAATGTGGGAGGAACACAGCGCTGAACACATAATGAAAACTAGTAGTCAATCATAAGTTCCTTTCAAAGTTCATTAAAATTGTAATTCTTAATCTTCTGTTATTTATCATTTTGGATGCCATACAATCATTCCACTGAACATTCACTGCTTACTTGATACGTTATCATCCTCATCCATATCATCATGTGTAGGCTGTTCTGGCAACATCACCCCTGTCTCAGAGAGAGCAGGAGGATCGTCAAAGATACCACCATCATTATTACTAATAAGTTTGTCATCTGAAATAGGAAAGCAATCCAGTTATAATTTGTAAAACAAATGCTAAAAGAATAATAGCTAATCACTGGAAACATAATGTTAAGATGGATTAAATTTAAATACGCTTTCTTTGTATCAGTTTCTTGTCAAGGAAGTTTATAAAAGCATGAAACATAAATGATAGTTCTCATTCACATTTGCTATTTATCATCTATTTAAAAAATGTATTTAACAAAACAGATTTCAAGTAGAGCTGTTTAATAAATAGTAGTATTAAGTCTGACAAGCACCTTTAAGCAAACACAGATATTGATAAAAAATTCATAGGCTACAGTTTTACAAAAGCTTTGTTGAACCAATTAGTCCTGAACCCCATAAATGTACATGCACTTCTGCTCAACACCCAGAATTAGCAAGTGCTTCCCAATATCATAACTGAATACAGAAATCACACCTACCACTCAATGACTGTCATCACATTTACGACAAACAAAACACCAAAATAAACTACTACTCCCGATTCTGCAGAAAAACAATGTCCCACCGACAGTAGACAGTAAGAAAGGCAGGGTAGCTTGACAGTATCAATGGCTGTGATGGTTAAGATTATGTGTCAACTTGGGCGGGCCATGACTCTCAAAGGCTTGGCCATTACGAGTTATATAAGAATGTACTTTGACAGTTGTTGAATGATGTAGCCACAGCCACCCTTCATTCCCACATAAGAACGTTGCTTAGCGAGGAGTGAGTGTTAGAATAACCACCTTGTTGTTACCTACCTAATATACCACCATCATTTCCTTCTCCAAAATTGTCATCCTTATATTGATCTTCATATTCTAAATGGTTCATTTTTGCATTCAGATTGCTGGTGCTCTGCTCAGGTTCCAGTAAGAGATTAGAAGTACTAGTGCTCACTAACATGTCGTCATCCTCAAAAGCGCTGCCTTCTCTCATTATCTCACGGTCATCCATCCCAAAGTCACCTGAACACATTTTAGTTTTCAGTTGAAAAAGGTTAGAAACATCATGGTTACAAAAGAAAACAACTAATTTTGTATTATATTCATATCACCTTTCCTTTTTGAAACCTTACTTATCTTTGAATGCAAAGACAGTTAATCGCTAAATCTTTAGCATCTAAATTTCATACAGTTACCTGATTCGGGATTACAGATAGTTCTAACAAATTCAAACTGGTATCCAAATTATGGTTTTCCTAACTATGTGGTTGTTAGGTGCTGTTGAGATGATTCTGATTCACAGCATCCCTATAACAACAGAATGAAACACTGTCTGATCCTGGCCACCCCTCACATCTACTATGTTTGAACCCATTGCTGCTGCCACTCCAGAAAAGAATTTGGCTTGCAATCAGTTTTGTGTGTGTTTTGCATGGTAGGAACAGAACACAACTGTTCCAAAATTATTAAAAGTGAGCCTTATTTCCATGCTGGGAAATTTACAATGAAGCATTATATTCTATCACTATGCATGAGGATTAACAGTAGACAAAGAATGAACTATAAATTTGCTGTGCAAATGGAAATGATGCATAACATATTGGTGGCAAAGGAAATTCTACCTTTAATATTTGGAAATGCATTAGATGAAATAATAAGTCTTTTGTCAACATGAATGTATTATATCTGGTTTCTTTTGGAATCTGTTAGTATTGCGCGCCACAACATAATTGTAACATTATAGCTAATGGCTAGCAGTTGATGTCTCTTATTACCAAAATCATTTTCTTGTAGAATACTGATGTTTCCAACTTCTTCTCTCATGGTTATCTCTTCCACTCTGCTCTGGTTCAGGCTGAATTGCTGGGCCACATCAATGTCACTTTAAAGAAAGATTCACAGTACATTTTAAATTTAAGTCCCAAGTCTCACTGCAATGTGTTTGTAGGAAAAAAATTCAAATTCTTTTTATAACAAAAAAGAAAACATAATCCTAAGGGTTAGGAGTTTAAATACATTTAATATTAAATAAATGAATATCATCCAAGAATAAGAATAACAATTTGGAAGTTAACTCAATTTGTATTTGTGGTGCTGCAGGTTAACGAGCTGGACTGCAAAGGCAGTTTGAACTGCAGAGTCAGCGGTTCAAGCTCACAAGTCACTCCTCGGAAGCCCTATACAGGGTTGCTATGGGTTGGAATTGACTCAATGGCACTTCAATGGTTCCAACTCATAAGGATTCTGTATAGGGCTTCTGAGAGTCGCTAGTGGATTTGAACTGCTGACCTTGCAACTTACAGTCTAGTGCGTATCCACACCAGGGCTCGATCTAATACTAAAAGGTTTCAAAAATTTCATGGTAAAACAGAATCGGACAATAATGAGGTTTTTCCATGAACTTTTTGAACCCTCCTCATGTAGCACTCATGACCAGCAATTATAATGGAACATACTAAAGTTAGCACATAAAGCAACACAGTGCATAGAAGAAAAACTTAGAAATCTATGAGCTAGACAATAACACATGGATTTTCATCAGAACCCTGCAACTTAAAGGTTGTGCGAACTCTGCAAAGTCACCTAATTTTTCTGAGTTAGTTCCTTTCTCTAATAAGTGAAACTGACTCCTCATACTGTTTAAGAATATTGAATAAAAAACATAAATCACATGTTAAATATCAACTTGGAACAAAAGCCAATGAATGGTATGCAGTCAATTTTGACTCATACGACCCTACAGGACAGAGCAGAGTTGCTCCTTATGGTTCTGTTGGTGGTGTTAAGTGCTGTCGAGTCGGTTCCCACCCACAGAGACCCTGAATAGGGTTTCTAAGGAGCCTCTGGTGAGCTTGAACCACCAACCTTGCAGTTCAAATGACTTTTAAGTCTGACACATTAGCCCACAGCGCCACACCAGGACTCCCCTTAAGGTTCTAGAGGCTATAAATCTTTATGGTAGCAGGCAGTGTCATCTTTCTCCCTTGAAGGTATGCGGTGAGCAGTCCACCTACAGTGTTACCAAAGCTCCTTAACTTGGAAAAGCATTGGCCAAATACAGAACTTGAAAAACAAATGAACAGCTCTGTTCAGCAAATAAACAACAAGGTATAAAAACCTTCAGAGTGAGGCATGGCTAGTATGCATTCTTAAGAAAGATTATCTATACATACCAGCCAATGCAATAACTGTGGACTTTGTGCAGACCTGGATTCAAACAAGCGGTGCCAACTGGGTATTTTTTCAAATACTTACTGGATATTATATTAAGGAATTACTTTTAAAATCAATTAAAAAACCCCAGAAACATAACATGGCTACTGTACTATAAACTATATGTACTGTGCAAATGTTATTTAACATGAGTTTTCTAGTAAGGAATGTTGACTATGTTCTCAAATATTTAAATAATTACCTCTTTCCTTCCTTCTCTAGTTTAAAAACAATGGCAATAGGGATTTTTTTAGTCCTCTGTACGCAATTGCTCCTCAGAAACCCTATACAGGATTGCTATGAGTTGGAACCAACTCCATGACACTTAACAACAACAAAGGAGCCTTAAATAAAGGCTCTTAAATATGCGTCTTAAATAAAGCTCCTGTTGAAAGGAGCCCTAATAGCATAGTGGATTACAACCAGGGCTGCTAACCCCAAGAACAGCAGTTCGAATATCCTAGGAGTTCCCAGGGAAAAAGATGATACCTTCACCTCCTGTGAAAATTTACAGTCTTGGAAATTCTACAGGATTTGCTATGAGCTGGAACTGACTCAGTGGCACACAACCATCACCACAGCTAAGTTTGAAAAACTGCTTATCTCTAAAGAGACACACAATGAAATACATTCTTAACTTTAAAACAACCCACTGGGAGTGGTTAAACTGGGAAAACACATATGAAATAAAAATACATTGATAATCAAAGCAACTAGATGATGAGTACATGGGGTTCCTTATATGAATCTACATTTTATGTAGGTTAAAAAATTTCCAAGATAAAAACTTACTAAAACAAGAAGTGTGTAAAAGTGCCTAGTATTAACACACACAAATCAAAATAGTAAATCATAAACTTACTCTGCTAATTAGGAGTTAAGAGATGATTTCAAAAAGCAGAGATATTTGCCTTAAATAAAGCATGGTATGAAGGAGATGAAAGCTTGGAGTCTGAATGTTTCCTGGCTGTCAACTGTGCTACTCAGTTACATGAGAAGTTACAGTCACATTCCCCATCATGATGTAACAGCAAGTTCTAAGGACTGAATACCAAAGTGCTCTTGTTATAATGCGTCTCTGTACAACGTTCTCCTCTTAAATATGTGTTGTATGTGCTGCTCCTCTTCACAGAAAGTTATCTCATGCTTATTTAGGAACAGAACAATTGTTGCTCTGATTATAGTCTGACCAAAAACACCAGACTAATAAACTAATAAGGGCGTAGCACAACACTGCATATGAATATTTCTTTAAAAAAAAAAAAAAAAATCATGAAATAGTTCAAATTTATGGATATTAGTATGCAAAGCACATACCTGGACAATTGTATAATTTACACAAGCTTTGCTCTAAGTAAATCAGAATTCTCAAACCTTAGTTCCATTAAAGATGACATCTTCTACATGATTTCTTAGAGAAAAAACATTTTCTAGGATATATCTTTTATATTTATAAAGTAACCCAAGCAAAACATTTAAGCTACATTTTAACTCAATGGCAAAACATTCTTAAAAATTATACATAAAGAAGCCTCAACTATAAAAAATGTTTTAAAAAGAATGAAAGAGAGACATACTCCAAGTCAGGAAGTGGCTGATCGAAATCATGAAACTCTTCTGGTAAGGTAATGGCATTATAAGCTGCTTCCCGGTTTTCCTCAGGCAGGTCAACAACACCTGGAAAAGAAATGCTAAATCTGAAGGTCCAAGCTACACCATAGATTATTTAGGGATTCAAAGGAGGAAAAGTCAGTATAATATCCAAAGATTATATAGATTCTAAAAATGTTGGCAACATATACAAAGTACTCTGAAGAAAAAGTACTTTTGTGTTCTCTTAATTGTCAAAGCACTAATAATTATGAGTTATGTAGAAATATCTTTAAAATACTCATGCCATCAAATAAATAGTAACACTTCCCAATAAGCATGCACTTTATGAGGAGAAGGAATGACAATGAAGGAGTACCCCCATTATTAAGTGACTGTTGTAGAATGAGATTATGTGATTTTTATACATTAAGTTTTTAAATGTATTTTTCCAAATTGTCTATAACAATATTATATATTGCTTCTAAGAGGCAAAAGCAAACAAAAACAAGTTACTTAAAATGCACATAGTGGTGTCATGTTAGAAATCATTCAATTAGCTTAGTATAACCACCATCTTTGTCCAAAAGTATTTTATTTCTACACCTTAAACTTGACTTTACATATTAAAATAAACTGAAATACCAGAATATAACCAGTAGAAAACACTGTAATCTTAATGAAAATGACATTAATACTATTCATTAAGATTACTTTAATTAGAATCAAATTTTATCATGGATTCAAAAACCTACAGAAGACATTTAATGAAAAGGCTCAATAACTTAGGTTAAATGTAAATTTAAATTTAAGAGCACATGAAAAAATTTCAGGAAAATTAGAATCTTAATATTTTATGTTTGGAGTTGTGGTTCAAGCTCACCGGCCGCTCCTCAAAAACCCTATACAGGGTTGCTATGCATGGAACTGATTCAACGGCATTTAACAACAATTACATTAAAAAATTCACAGAAAAATGAGTTTTCAACCTTGGGTGACTCAGTTTTATGTAAGATGCTGGGGGGAGGGGGGAAGTTGTTTTATTTTTAAATAGCCAAGAAACAAAAAAGGGGGGCGGGGGTACGCTACTTCTCCAGAGATACAACAAACGAAAATACAGTTGATTTCTTCACTTGAACCATTTCCTCTCCAAGCTTTGATCTATAATTGAGGGATTCTATGTATTAAAATTAAAACAATCAAATCAAACGTGCTATTCTAGAATATGTGCTTAGCAGTTTTCTACACTGAGCTGCTACCGACACACCAGAGTTAAAAAAAAAAAAAAAGTTCAACAATACCTGGACGGAAAGCCATCTTTATTTTAATAAATGCCTCGTTACAGTCTGCAAGGAGATATTTGGCTTTCCTGTGATAGATTCGAACTACTCCCAGTAAGAGATGTCCTGATGTTCGAAGTGCCATCTTCACCTATAAATAAATATGAGCATTAATCTAATCTATAAAGTTAATTTTATAATTGTATGTTCATCTATTTCGTGCAATTTATAGTCAGTTTTTACATCATATCCATATGCCTTTTATTTTGAAGCAAAATCACCTACATGGTTTTTCTCACTTCCTACAACTGTCAATTCCCTGAGTATGCCCTTTGAAGACAGACTAGACAGCAATCCATAAAGTAACAAACATGTGAAATAGCTATAAAGCAGATACAGAAGTATCCCACAAACAGTGTCATTAACACACTTTGGGGTACGTGGTGTGTTAATAACACTGTTTGTGGGATAACTCTGTATCTGCTTACTGGTGGCCATAACTTCCTCTTGGCTAAGTAACCCGATTTTGTTTGGAAAATGTTATATTCCCAGACTTGGAAGATCGAATTCCGTTCTGCTAATGCTTGCTCTTGAGTAACCCCGTTGATTAGTTAAGTGTAAAGGCAACCAAGAGTTTGTGAGGAAGATTTTCCCAGCCTATTTTCTCTCCAAGGCAGGTCTTCTTCATCAATGCTGGAATGCAATGTGTGATGTGAAAAGCGGTAGCTGGGAAGGAATGAGACAAGTAAGCACTCTAGCTCAGCAGAGTGATTAAAATTCCTCTGGTTGTGATCTGTCTTGGAGGAAAGGCAGTTAGAATGCTGCTTAAAAGCATGGGTGGTGAGATTTTTGTCTCTTGTACTTTGGATGCATTATTAGGAGGAACCAGACCCTGGAGAAAGTCATCCTGCATTGTAAAGTGGAAGATCAATGAATAAGAGGAAGACCCCCAACAAGATAGATTACACAGTGGCTGCAACAGTGGGCTCAAACATGATTGTGAGGAATGCTCACGACCAAGCAGTGTTTCGTTCTGCTGTGCATAGGGTCATAGGAGTTGGAACCGACTCAATAAACAACAGAAAGTCATTACACATTAATTTGGGTGAAGGGAAAGCAGATACTGAGAGGTATACAAGTTATGAACAACAAAGGTAAATACTATTACACATACAATACTGCAATAAACAAGTCACAAATAATCTAAGGGTGGACACACAGGCAAACGGGTAGGTTGAGCAGGTATAGGAAGGACCCCATCTATAAGCACATATATTCATCTGGCAGAGGGTATTTCTGTGTGCTGTAAATATATCCAGGTATGGAATCCTAGTGTGGCGTTGTGGCCTAACGAACTGGACTGCAATGTAGGTTTGAACCACAAGGTTGGTGGTTCACACTCACCAGCCATCCTCAGGAACCCTTGACAGGGTTGCTATGGGTCAGAACCGACTTGATGGCACTTAACAAATAAAGTACAGAAGCCAAGTTATGAACACTTCTTGACCATAGCCAACACCTTGAGAGCATGAGTAACTTGAGTTGAGGGCTCAGGACCTTACCTTAGAGGACAGCTAAGTGAATTGGTATAATAAAATTCAAAAAGAATGTTTTCCTACACTCTACTTTCATGAACAGCAACTGGGGTCTTAAAAGCTAAAGTGTAGCCATCCAGATAAAACATTGGTCTCTTTCCAGCTGGATTTTAAGAGTGAAGAAAACCAAAGACTCAATGAAACAAAGAGTCCAAAGGACTAGGATCACAGCCTCCACTACCCAAAGACCAGAAGAACCAGATGGTATCCAGGTACCACTACTAACCCCTCTCACTGGGATCACAGAAGGTCCTAAACAGAATTAGAGAAAAATGTAGCAGAAAACTCAAATCATCCCCAAAACAAAACAAACAATTAAAAAACCCCAAGACTTACTGGTAGAACCCTCCAGACTGTGGCCCTTAGAAACCTTTCAACCCTGGAACTGAACACCCCCACCCCAAGGAACATCTTTCAGCTAAACAACAGACAATCCTATAAAGTGGGCAATAACATTTGTGAGGCACATAGTCTCCCTAATGATTAACTATATGAGACCAAAAGGCAGCATTTGCCCCAAAGCAAAAACCAGAAGGCGGGAAGGGACAAAAAAGGATGAATGGATACAGAGAACCCAGGAAGGCAGTGAAAACAGCGCTGTTATACTGATGGATTGCAATTAATGCCAAGAAACAAAACGTACATGAACTGTCAAATGGAAAACTAGTTCACTTTGATTTCAACCAAACCACAATACAAAAATAAATAATGAAAAATATTTTATTTTTTTAAAAAATTTCCTTTGGTTGTAAAAGAAAAACTTGTTGAGGGAACAAGAGAACTAAAGTCTAATTTCCCAAATAATTTTCTAAATCATACCAAGAAATGTACCAATTTTAAGGTAGAAAAAATGGTTAAGATTTATTCAAGTTTTATTTTATAAAACTTTGTATGACAAAAATGGTTAAGATTTATTCAGTTTCAGGACTTGTTCCCTCTTTTGAGCTACTGCTTCCATAGGTATAGGTCAAGTTCATCAAATTGTATGAGAATACCTTTTTTCTTTTCCCTCTTCTTTTTACTTCTGGTTGAGCTCTGATCATCCAGTCATTGAAGCCAGGATAAGTGGGTATTATCTGCCAAGTGTGGGTGTTCTTATGCATATGCCTCTCTTCTTATCAGCTGGATGCTTCATATGTGGCTATGTCACTGACTCTGGACCCAAGAGTCCCCAGGTCTTGCCACACTGCTGGCAAACCAGGTTTTCACGCGGGTTCACAGAAGTCTATTGAACGTTGTAGCACTTAGCTCACTGCTTCACTGCTGTTTTTCCCTCACTTCCCTTATCGGTGTCGAGCGTGGTCACCAATCAGAACATATATTCCCACTGAGTCTTAGTCTTGGAAGGGGGTTTGCACTGAGGGGACCCGACCACTTGCCTTGATGTTTCCTGGGCAAGCATGTTGCTTGTTCTTGTAGTAACAGTCGGTCTGCCTATGTTGTTTTATATTTTTCCTGTAGGTCTTTCTTTCAAGAAGCATCTTCTGTTCTTCTAGCCACTCCAGGTTGGTCTGCTTGTCCTTTCAAGCGATCATTCCCACACCCTCCACACACAGAGTAGACAGGGATGGGCAACTTGGACATAGGCTACCGAAAATGGGGGTGGGGGGGGCTACAAAGGCAAGAAGTGACTGTCTTACAAGCTTTCAAGAGGGAACCTAGATCCAGAGGGCATGGAGGAAGGTAGAATCTCCAGTAAGTAGTATTCAATCTGTCTAGGCGGGGTTGACGCAATGAAATGCAGAGAGGTCTCTTATGATACAATAGTGAATAATTGTTATCAGGACTGATTGTGAGGGTTGGAAATGTAAAGGCAGACGTTTTATAGCAAGGAGGGGAGTGATTCACTTTTCAGTCTAGGAGCGGAGGTCCCTAGGACCATCAAGGGAGAAGAGCATAGAGCGGGACCCTACCCAGAGAAGCAGTGATGCCTGAAATGGAGCCAGAGATGATGACGTGGAGCGATGGAGCAGCTGGAGACTTTAGATCCAGAGAAGGAGAGCGATTGTGTGCTGAAGACCTGGGGGGTATGGGGTGGGGAAGGATTGCATGGAGGGGATTGTAACCATGGCAATGAGAGACAATATACGATAGAATGAATGCAAAACTAATGTTCTCCCATGTAAACGATCACATAATTCACAATAAAACATTAAAAAAAAAAGATTTATTCAGTTTGTTATGATTAATATATTGTTATTTATAAAATGTTATAATGACTAGTTGGCTTGTCATTTATATTTATAGCCATTTTCTCGGTTACAGCACAAATTATGTTTGCTGCTAAGTATTCTTAAATATATACCTGAAATTTTAACAAATGTGTTTATCTAATGATAAACCACTGATATGAAAAGTAGTCCATAATCAAAATATTGTTTCTCTGAAAAAAAAGAACCTACTCTTAAGGTATAATATCAGGAGATAAATTTTAAATTAAAATAGGATTGACTGCACTTTCATTTAAGAAAGGAGGTGAAAAATCTCTGTTCCTCATTATCATCGTGTCAGGAATTAGCAACTGTTTTTGGGATTAGTTTAGTTCAGAGTATAAGCAGGAAGTAGGTGGCTGAGCTAACTCCTGCTGGGAGACTAGGTAGGTATAACAAGGAGAGGTTACTCAGGTTAGTTCTGCAGAGGGCAGCATCAAATGACTGAAGAGAGGGAAGTGGAAGGAAAGAAAGGGAGAGGACAGTGGTGAGAAGAGGGAGGAGGCGCCAGGGAGAGCGTGTGGCGCTGATGCAATGGAACCATGTCTGACACTTATTATAACAAAAAAGCATTCTCCCACAAGAACTGCACATCGTCACCAGCAAACATCAGAAATCCACCTTGTGGAAATATCTTTATTTTGTCACAGCTGAAAAACACAAAACCAATGAAACAAACTTCTACTTAGGAATGTTGTTTTTTAAAATGTAAGTAATTCTTACACTGCCGTTGTAGTTTTAGTGCTGTAGTCTGTTCTGACTCAACCCTATATAGGGTTTTCCAAGGAGTAGTTGGTGGGGTTGAACTGCCAACCTTGAGGTTTGCAGTCTAGTGCTGATCTTGCAGTGCCATACCAGAAGTCCAATTCTTACATATACACGCTAATCTACTTTATTCCTGAACCATATGCCTTGTTTCGTACACACTGTCATATATTCCTAAGTAAAGGCCTCTTAAGATTAAATTGTCTCGTACTATTTTGGTAGTGTCCCTAATAGAATACAAAGTACTTGGCACATACTTAAAAAAAAAACAAAAACAAAACGGTATCCTTTGAGGTAAAGCTCGTTAGTATTTGCTCATGAAATGTTAAAGATTAGGCACATGTATCAATTTCAAATCAAAAGTTGGATTTCCTCCCCTGTCCATTAACTTCTCTCAATAAGCATACCTAGAAAAAAAAATAAAAAAACAGCCCATCGTGGTCTCATATAGTTCAATCAGCAGTGCACAGTGGTACAAGCTCTCCAGAGGGCAAATGGTTGCTATGTGTTAGAAATCTTAGCTGTATCATTGGCCCAGCAATTATATTTCTGAGCGTTGATTTACAGATGTAAGCATGTAAAGAGTAAGAAGTATGGTTAGAAATAATATGAACTAGTGGCAAGCTCGGCAATTCAAGCTCACTAGTCGCTTCTCGGAAACCCTACACAGGGTCGCTATGGGTTGGAATCGACTCGATGGCACTTAACAACAACAAAAACAAAGCAGTGCTGTGGGTTTATGCACTGGACAACAAAAACCAAAACGAAGAGACAGGTAAGAAAAAAACAGCACATCCAATACAAATTATAAATCCATTGATTATTTATTTTAAAATTCTAGGGTCCAAAGGTGTTTGGAATTCAGGTCTTTTTACATAACCAAAAAGGGAATGCAGTATATACGTTTGTTTATTTACATATTAGTATTTTTATAGTGAATTTGTGGCACTACAGGATTATGCACTAGACCACAATATTGGTTTGAGCCCCAAGGCCGGCAGTTCTAATTCACTAGCTGGCTCTTTAGAAAAGCTGTGCAGGTTTGTTTTGAGTTGGAACTTACTGGATAGCACTTAACAACAAAATTACCTTATCTTAGGCCAAGTCTACTTGAAAGTTTTTTGTGTTTTAATTCTGTGGGTTAAGAGATAATGACCCTCTTCAAAGCAACCATTAAAACAATCAGATTCCTCTGAATGCAGTTTTGTTACAAAATAATATCATGCAGTTGTGTACACATACAAAAAGAAAAATTATGTGCACATTACATGCATGTATAAAAAAAAGGCACACAAAAATATAATAAACGATTTCTCTTGGTGGGAGGATTTACAGGTCATTTTTCTTTGCAAGGTTTTTCATTTTAGCGAAGTTTTCAAATTAGTATTGTTTTGTTTTCTAAAGAAGATAGGAGAAATGTGGTACTTGTGTGCCATGGAGTTGGTTCCAACTCCTAGCGACACTGTTGAGTGGTTCCTAGGCTGTAAATCTTTATGGAAGCAGAAAGTCTCAACTCTCTCCTGAGTGAGGAGTGATAGGTAGATTTGAATTGCAGGGCAGCTCATAATCCATTACTCTAACAATGAATTTCACCAGTTGTCAATCTAAAACTAGCAAAAGTCTACACACAAATGTAAAGGTTAGAATTTGCTCTAAGCATAGATTTTCATTTCCCTTACTTCAAATACACACCTGTCTTTATACCTTTTTTGGGAACAATTCTCTGCTCTATATCCAGCTTAATTCTTCTAAGATTCCCTCACTATTCCAGCAATACACAACCATTCATCTTAAAAACAAAACAAAACATTATGCCAGCACAGTCTTGGTGTGGTGCTGCAGAATAAGAACTGGACTGATAAGCAGAAGGTCAGCGGTTCACCAAATGCTCCTGAGAAACCCTATACAGGGTCGCTATGAGTCGGAAGTGATGTGAAGGTACTAACAACTCTTAAGTAGTAATTTTCAGTAGGATGGTTCCAATGTTGAGAACACAACTGTAATCTGAAAGGTTTTAACAACAGGGCTATTTGAGTGTGTGCAGACATATATAAGTTCCAAAAAAGGAGCCTTAAAACACAAGCAATTTTACACATACCAAGTATATCAATTATATTTGAGGACCTTTCCTTTATTTTTGCATTAGTTCTCCATATATTTTTAAAAAAGACTTTATTGTGCATTGAGTGATAACTTACATGGGAAAACATTGATTTTACACTCACTGTTTCATTGCAATGATTACAATCTCCTTCATGCATCATCATTCAATAGTATTTGCTTCTATTCCCTCTGTTTTTTTTGGGGGGTGGGGATGGGACAAAACACTCAGGAATCTATAGTCATTTAACAAACCAAAGGGCACATTCTGCAAGCCTGCCTCCTGGCCAGAAATACCTGGCCGCCAGCACACAGCCTTTCTCTTTCCATGAGTCTAGAGTCCTTAGCTGTTCTATTTCTCCATATCTGGTGTTGCTGCTTCTCTTGATAGGGACCCACGTTCTGCTCGTACCCTTCTCCCTTGTCCAAACTTTTTTTTTTAATTAAAATATCTATTTTTCAATGAACTGGTAATTAGTCTGCCTGTTTTAAAGGTTCTTGCTTAGAACAAAAAAAACCCCTATTACTTTAAGTTATACCATTTGTGAAACCACAGCTTCAGAATAGTTTTAGAGATGTCAATAAAAACAAGGCAGATAAGGTAAGGACAGTCAGAGCAAATCATGTGTGTTTGTATCCCTCTTCTCAAGATAGCCCTTTCTCTATATTTTTGAGTTATTTCAAGAAATTATTTGACCCAAGAAATAGGAGGGGCCATAGAACAGCTGGGATCTGGACTGAACAGGGAAAGTGGCTGAGATTCCCATAAGATGCAGCTGGTGTGTGGAACGGAATTTGCTATCCATGACACAATCTGGCATCAGAGGCATTATCTTAGTCTCCCTGGACTCCTCTAACATTGATTTATAGTCCCTTATTTTGACTATTTTTTAAGTTCCTAAATGAAGAACATACATACACTCCTAGAAAGAGCAAAAATATTTGGATACTGACCCATGTCATACTTGTCTGCCATTAAAACAGGCAAATGAAAATATTCATGCAGTTGCAAGAATTTTTTAGGAGAAACAATATAAAAAACTGTTCATATCAAAACCTATCTAGCATAGAACAGCAAGTATGCCTGCAATTAATGCAGGTAAATTAACTGCAGGTAAAACAATGACTACCTAAAAGGTCATTTTACAGAGTCTGATTGAACATGTCAGCAGACAGTTGGCAAAGTGAATAAAAATATCAGCATCAAACATACCTTGGGTGAGATGATACTCTCCACACTGCTCTCTAAATTACACTCGAACACATGGGCTTTGGTCAGCTTCTTATCCCAGTGGGCCGCTAGCCAAATTTTGGCCAGAGGCCCTCTTTTACTGAGAACAAAATGTGCGTAGAACATTGTTGCGGTTGTCTATAAAACAGGAGGAAACCTGAGGGGGGAGAATGTTAACGTAAGTATCATGTGAGAATCAAAACAAAGACACAGACAGATATTAATCAATATAAAAAATTGCCATTTCTAGAACCCCACTGAAAATTTAGATTCTTACCTAAGAGCTCTGTACAGTAATTGCTACTATGTGGGCAACAGCAAAAGAAGTTCTGGCATGACACTGTTGTCCAAGCACTGGACCACAAGGTCGTTGGTTCAAACTCACCAGCTGCTCTTTGGAAATCCTATACAGGGTTGCTATAGAGTCAAAACCAAACAACTTATAGGCAGTTAACAACAACAAAGTAAAAGTAAGTAGATGGGTTAGCCCTATTTCATAGGTGGATAATTTAGAAAAGCTGTGGCTTAAAAAGGTGTAGCATATGCAATGTCTATATATATTTTAAATATTAAGCTCATGATAATAATTTAAAAAAATCACTGCCATCAAGTTGATTTGAAACCATAGCAACCTTGTAAGGACGGGCAGAGCCCCGCCTCTTAGGGTTTCCTGTGTCACTCACTGTATGCTAAGCACTCAATCACAAGACCAATTGGAAACACAAAGTCCCTCGGAAATACTATACAGGGTCACAGAGTCGGAAGCAATTAGAAGGCACTTAACAACAACAATCTTTATAGGAGTGACTGTCACACCTATTTTCCTGCAGAGTAGCTGGTGGGTTCAAACGACCAGATTTTCAGTTAGTAGCTAAGTGTTTAACCACTGCAGCACCACCAGGTGTCTACATGGCAATGTTGTTGTTGGCTAAATGCTGTCGAGTTGGTTCTGACTCACAGGGACCCTGTAGTAGGCTTCTGAAATGCATCTGGTACATTTGAGCCATTGACCTGATGGCCTATCCTACAGCGCCACACCAGAACTCCACGGCAATAATATATTACATTATTTAATTTCTTCTTTCAAAGATTAAAACAAATCTAGTTTCCCAACTGAAATTCTATCTTGTTAAATTTCCATGATCACAGCAAGACACAAGGCACACTTACACTAAACACATGAAAATAATTTCTAAAAAAACAAACGCATTTTCCATTTTACAATGTAGTCACAGGAAGTTGCAAAAACAGTACGGCGAAGTCCCATTCAGTTTTCCCCAAAGGTGACATCCTACATAATTTAAGTACAATATCAGACTAGAAAACGGACACTGTACAAACGTGTATGTGGTTCTATTTTATTACCTGTCTAGACTGGTGTAACTCACCACTGCAATCAAAATACAGAACTATCCCATCACCACAAGGAACTCTTTCCCTATACCTTTTATAATCACAACCACCCCTTACTTCTTTGACTATCCCTAAGCCTTAGCAACCACCAATGTTCTTCATATTTAACAGTCACTTTATAAGTGTTATATATAAATGGAGTTATACAGTAGGTGGAGTCCTGGTGTGGCGCTGTGGGTTGATGCGCCAGACTGCAAAGACATTTGAAATGCAAAGTCAGTGGTTCAAGCTCACCAGCTGCTCCTCGGAAACCCTACACAGGGTCACTATGGGTCAGAACCAACTCGATGGCACTTAACAACAACAATACAGTATGTGACTTTTGGGATGGCTTTTGGCACTCAGCATAATGCTGCTGCGATCCATACAAACTCATCTGTGCATCAATAGTTCGTTCCTTTTTATGGTTGAATCATATTCCAAGGTATGGACAAACCATAATATGATTGATTAGTCAGGCACCCATTGAAGGATATCTGGTTGTTTTATTTTGGGTTGTTATAAATACAACTGGAGTGCTGGTGAGGCACAGTAAGATAAGCACTGGACCACAAGGCCATCAGAACTGAAATGTTGGCAGTTCAAACTCACAACCCTATACAGAATTGCTGAGTCAGAACCTACTCCACTGCACGTAATAATAACCAACAAATACAGTTATTATGAGTATCACTGACAGACTTCTGGTGAATATACATTTTCATTCCTCTAGGATCAATATCCAGAAGTGGGCTGCTGCACTGTACAGGTTAAATATATGTGTAATTTTTCATGACACTGCAACTTATCAAAATCCTAGTGAAAAAGTGATTAAAATAAATTATGGACAAGTTTATTCTAAAATTTATAAAGAAAGGCAAAACCACCAATGGCTCAATTTTCCTTTGAAAACGATAAATCAGAGAATTTAGTTTACCCATATGTGCAACTGATTTTTGATACAAACAATTCAAAAGCATATGGATCATCTTTCCAACAAATGGCATTGGAGCAAATGGATACCCACAGACCAAAAAGACTCCCTACCTAAACCTCATACTTTACACCACAATAAACTATTGGTTTAAATGCAAAACTAAAAAACTTAGGGGGTAAAAAAAACTGGAGAAAATCTTCAGGACTTTAAGCTCAATTAAGAATTCTTAGACATGACACACAAAAAAGTAGGACCCATAAAAATAAAAGAAAAGAAAAAAACAAAACTTTTGTTACGCTAAATGGGCAAGCTACAGACTAGGAAGAAATCTACGAAATCTCTTATTTCACAAGAGCTTGGATCTAGAACATACAAGGAGACTTCATAAAGTTCATGGAGAAATCTCATTTTTAAAAACTCTCATTTCCCACCAACTTTTTGAAGCCCCCTATTATATAAAGCTCTTAAACTCAATGTTGCTGTTTGGTGCCATTGAGTCAGTTCCAACTCGTAGCAACCCTATGCACAACAGAATCAAACACTGCCGGTCCTGGATCATTTCCACAACTGTTTTGTTTGAGCCCATTGTTGCTGCCACCATGCCAATCAATCCATCTTATAGGGACTGATCCCTCCTGACAACACATTCTAAGTATCAGAGACCAAGTCTTGCTTTTAAGGATTCAAGTAAAACTATATATTAAAAATAATAAATCCAATTAGAAAATGGCAAAAGATATGAAAAGTAAAGTCACAAAAGAGGATACACTGATAACCAATAAGACACGAAATGATATTCAATATCATTAGCCATCCGGGAAATGCAAATTAAGCACCACAATGTGATATCACCTTTCTACTATAACCAAAAACCAAACCCTTGCCATTTAGCTGATTCCAACTCATATGGACTCTAATAAAACAGAATAAACGGAACTGCCCTATAGTTTTTCTAACTCTGTAATCTTTATGGGAAAGTCCTGGTGTGGCACTGCAGGATAATGCTCTGGACCACAGGGTCACTTTGAGCCACAAGGTCGGTAGTTCAAACCCACCAGACACTCCTTGGAAACCCTATATAGGGTTACTATGAGTCAGAACCGACTAGAGGGCACTTAATAAATCTTTATGGGAGCAGACTGGCTCCACATCTTTCTTCCCTCAACAGCATCAACTTCACCACGGCATCACCAGGGCCCCCTACACCATAGTGGCATTACCAAATGCTCTGAGGATAGAATCACTGATCTCTCATACACTGCTGGTGGAAATGTAAAATTTATATTGTTAGCTTTTATTTTGTAGATTCAGAAGCATAAGTTAAGGCTAACTTTTATATTTTCTGAGACTAAATTTTCCTCAAACAAGAACAGTTTATACTTTTAATTAAAAACGGTGCCCATTCTAACGATGCACACACACAAAAAATGTACTATGAAATTTTCTTTTTCTGAACCACATGCTTCCAAACAAAAATTCCCCCAAAAAACCCAGGTGCTGAATCAACTCTGATTTAATACAACTCCACGTTTATCAGAGTAAAAGTCAAGCCTCAGGGTAGAGTTGACCCATGAATCTTTGGTTGGCAGCCAACATTCACAGTTTGGGCCACCTAGGGAATCCTTGTTCCTAGGGGTTCACGAATTCACAGTAGGCCAATTTTCTCAAAAGAAAAGCAAAAACAAAAAAGAATCAATTGCTTAACGTGAATTATTTTCCCCAAATCAGGAATTAAGAGAAAAACTAAGGAATAACAAACTAGGACAAGAATTTACTCTAGGAAGCTGGTGGCAGTGGTAGTGTGCCATGGAGTCGGTTCTGACTCATAACGACCCTCTATAGGGCTTCCGAAACTGTATATCTTTACGGGAGCAGAAAGTCTCATCTTTCTCCAGCGTAACTGCTGCTGGTAGTTGAAAACTGCTGACTTTGAAGTTAGCAGCCCGATTTGTAACCACGACACTACCAGACTCTATAAAGTTTGTTCATATCAACTGAAGCTGTCTGTTGTTAGCTGCTCTCATATTGATTCTGATACAAGGTAACTCCACACGTTTTAACTGTAAAACTGTTCCATACTGTTTTCCAAGCTGCGACCTTTCAAGAAGCATCTTGTCTTGCCAAGCTTGTATTCTGAGGCACCAGTAAGTGGGTTTGAACTGCCAACCGTTCACCCAGTAGTCAAATACTTAGCATTATAAATAAAATGTACAGGATTTATAGATATAGATGTTCTTAGAAATCTAGTTGCCATGTCATACATGACAAACTTCAAGTTTCCTGTATGAAAACGAACAGTTGTGCTCCAAATAGATATAAAAAATATAAATAAACCTTAATACTTAGCTCCTAGAACATTGCCCATCATATGACAACTATTAATGAGTAAGTAAACATGAGATACCAAATGATCCCATAATTGGCAGATGTAAGAAATTCTGAAGATCTTAGAAATGACAGATACTGGTACTTCAAAAACAGGTGTCAGTAGTTCAAGGCCAGCACCAGCTGCCGGTCAGAGTACCATGACTAAAATATCCCAGTTATGCAGAGGCAAAAGATTCCTAAATAGATGTCTTCTTGGCATGGGGGTAGGGGAATAATTAAAGCAGGAAAGTGCTAAAATTAATCTGGGAAACAATTAGCAAGAGAAAATTACCCTAATAACTAAAGAAGACAGAAGAGCAAATACTGGTTTATATTTAAAAGCACAATCATGGTTACCTTTTAAACGAAATTGTCCTTGTTCTTAAGTGCTGTTGAGTCGGTCCTGACTCATAGCGACCCTGTACAGGGTAGTTTCCGAGAAGCAGTTGGTGAGTTTGAACCACAGATCTTGAGATTCAAACCGACCTTGTAGTCCAGTGCATTATTCTGCAGCCCCACACCAGGACTCATTAATACGCAAAAAAAAAAAAAAAAAAGGATGATTAATTAGCTCTGTAGGCTTTAGAGACTCTGAATTCTGTAAATCCTCACAAAAGATCTTAGCAGAAACCCTGCATATGGACCAGAGCACTTGAGCACTCTCCTGATTTCAGAATCAATTCTTCTAAAGCAGCAGACTCCAAATGAGTTTAAAAAAACATCTGATGGGAAATGGCAGAAAACCTGCTACTTTAGAACATATCCAGGAATTAAAAAAAAAAATTATTTAGGAGTCGTGTTGTGGTGCTATAGGATAAGCACTGGATTGCTAACTACAAGGTCAGCAGTTCAAAACCACCAGCTGCTCCTCGGAAACCCTATGTAATGAATCCAAAACGACTTGCTAGGAGTCTTTAAAAATGGTTATCAAAACAAGAATTTATTACCAAAACAGAAATTAATTTTCTCTGCACTGATGTAGTTAGGTGCCCCGTGTAACCAAATGAAATGTTGCCCACATCTGTGCCATCTTTACAACTGTTGCTACAGCAAGTTCACTGTTGAAACCATTTGTGTCAAATTTCACTGAGAGTCTTTCTCTTTTCCATGAACTCTCTAGCAATGTGTTCTTCTCCACTCCCTCCTGATAACATGTTCAAAGTAAGACAAAGTCTCTCCATTCTTGCTTCTAAGAGGCATTCTGGTAGCCCATGGTATAGTCAATAGTCTACAGCAACACCATAATTCAAAGGTATTAATTCTTTGATACTCTTCCTTATTCATTATACAGTTTTCCCATCCATATGAAGAGATTGAAAATACTTGGCTTGGGTGAGGCACACCTTAGTTTGTAAAGTGACACCTCATCATTTAGAAGGCTAGAAGTCAGAATTCAAGACATTGGCTCTAGGGAAAGGCTCTCTCTGCTCACGAGGTGGGGGTGGGGGGGTGGCACACAAGCTTTTATCTCTTTCAGCTTCTGTTCCTCTGTCTTTCCCCATTTATGCTTGCTTGTCTCTATGCTTAATCTAATTTGCTCTTTTTATATCTCAAAAGTGATGAGGTTTCAACATAGTCCACAAAGACAATGTTCTATATCTTACTTTGTTGTTGTTGTCAAGTGCCGAGTCGATTCTGACCCATAGTGACCCTGTACAGGGTTTCCAAGGAGCAACTGGTGAGTTTGAACCACAGCATCACACTAGGATTCCAGGTATATAGGGAGGACAAAACACAAGTGAGGTAGGTCCACACACCACAGAATGGTCAATCATTCACAATCAAAAAGGCAGAATTTACATACAGAGAAAATTCAGAAGGGTGGAAAAGGAGGAATGGAAACAAAAACACAGTCGGTGGGAAAAGTAATGTTACAGTGAAGGGATGCAGTCACGTGGAAAAAGTCTATGATTGGATGAATGTAAAACTGATGATCTGCTCTATAAACCTTCATTCAGTTCATAGTAAAAAGTTAAAAGAGAGAGAGATGAGGTTTAAGATACACTCTAAACTAATATGGTATCATAACATAATAAAGAAAACTACTTCTATACATAAGTATAGGGATTAGGAGTTCAACATATTTTGGGCACACAGCTGAATCCTTAACAGAGAGGCAGGAATAGTGGTTAGAGAAGTTGGTATGACCTTTTTGAAGCGCTTTCGACAACATCTTAGGAAAACTTCAAACTCATAGTCTTAATCAGAAATCTTATTTCTAATCATTCAAACTAAAGATCTACTTGGAAATGTATATTAATCCAAGAAAGTAGTAAATGTTATATGCTAATCTAACTCAGTCATATAAGGTTAATTCAGTCTCATTTTACAGATGAAGTAATAAATAAAAGAAGTAATTTTCCAAAGGTACTTAATGTTAGGTGCCGTTGGGTTAGGTTCTAAGCTCATAGCAACCCCTATGCACAACAGAACAAAACTGCCTGGTACGCTACTATCCTCACAATTGTTCCGTTGGAGCCCATTCCAAAGGGTACTAGTATTTAACAGAAGTGTCAGAAACTAGTATTTGGGAGAAGTGGCTCTTAAACTTCAGAGATCACACTTTAACTACAACACTAGTGCCTTTCCAGAATATTATATTATCAATACAGCAAAATACATCGTGAACTTTAAACAGTAACAATTAGTAACATTTCTACTAACATGGAAACTCTCCGAGGTAAGTGCAGAACAACTAGTTACTAAGAACAAAACAAAACAGAGAGTATTCTCTGTATTTTTACAAGCATTTCCATCAAATAGTTATCTTTGGAGTACACATGAATCTGGTAACACCTGTTATGTCTGAAAAGTGGGTCTTCAAGGAAAAGGAGGTCTCTATCTACTCTTTCATACTGTTTGAATTTTTTCTTTCTTTAATTTGGAGTCTACATTACCTAATCAAAGTAAAATCAACTACACTGGGAATTAAGACAGAATTCTGTTTTGCAATTAACAAGCAAGTTACCCTATTTCACCTACGTAGTTCAATTTTCCTAGTTATGAAAACCTGGATGGTTGAAATTTGGGGATTTACTGTGTATCAAACAGATAGGACTAGAGGTGTATCTCTTTGAGGGGTGAAGGTGGGATACAGGTAAGAAAGTTACTTCTAACCCTGCACACTGAACCACCTAACATTCAGACCAAGTATTTTACAATCAGTCCTAGCTTCAAATCTAGCTTTTACTTGCAACAGTGAAAAAAACGTTGTTTGACATCTGAGTCTTAGCTTTTTTAATCTATAAAATCAGTAATTTGTTAAGTGACAACGTGACTCTGTATAGGATTCCCAAAGAGCAGCTGGTGGGTTTGAACTACCTTGACCTCAGGTTAACAGTCCTATCCTACAGTGCCACAATGGGACTAATGTTCACAAAACAAGGATAGGAGATTTAAAAATACAATGCCTAACACAATGTCTGACACCTTGCTGATGAAATTAGTAAGGTCAAGAAAATCTCTGCAGAGGAAAATGGAATTGAAAGATGATGGAATTTCTCAGCAATCTTTTGACTATACCAGTAAGCGTGAATGTGCCTAACAATTTGGAGATGAATATCATTAAGGGGGAAAAAAACAATCCATTTCTCAAAAATCAGAAAATGTCCCTTTTGTAGAAAAAGTTGAGACTTCTCAGAACTTTTAAGTTCTGTTCATTAAGAATTCATTAGGAATAAGATTCTGAACTTTAATACTACAAGAGAACTCTACTCGAGTGAAAAGCTATACTGTAACTCATGTGCTGCTTTGATAAATACACAAAAATGTAAAGGTTATTGTATCAATGTAACTGACTTGTGTATAAAAAGCAGTATGCCCATTAGTTATGAAGTGCTGTCATGTCAAGGAACTACAAACTGTTAAGGGAGCTAGTAAATGGATATGGCACAGGTCTCCTTCAGCATCTTTTTAGAAATACTTACTGGTTGGTTATCTCCAGCATGAAACAAAGATATGTAACAACTCAACAGAGAGCTTCTCTAAGCCTGCGTCCAAGATCTTGCAGTCTCACACAGCGCACTGGCATTTACACTTAGAGAAAATAAGATCTTATTTTTTCTGAAACTCAGTGATCCTAAACCGTAGCAAGAGAGATGAGTGCACTCCTTAGCTTTCGCTTGCAAAAGGGAAGCCAACAGTAAGGCGTCTTTACTAAAAAGCTAAAACAAAACAAAAAAAACAGCCAACCCCGCAAGTCCGTTCTGGAGCGCTTTAGAGTCTAAAATTCGTAGCTTTCAAACGTGGAGGCTGCTCCGAGCGTCTGGCAGCACACGCCGACCGTGCCACCCCACTAACACAGCAGACCATTCGCAGGAACACAACATCCAACATTTGTCCGAAACACCCATCTCCCCAAACAGCTCTACAACACCCACTATTCTTAATCACTTCAAAAAAAAAAAAAAAAAAACAAACTAGAAAAGTTAGGGGGAAACCAATTAAGCTGATGAAGTATCCGAAGTGAAGTTCCCTCGTCGCGTCTTCCATTGATCTGGTCAATATTTCATGTTCCCAACAGAACAATGTCCGCATAAAGAGATGGACACACCGGCTGGCGGCTGTAGCCCCGACCCCTCGCCACGCTCGGCCGACTGTGGCTGCGATCCGAGCGGGCATCGCGGGCGCCGGGCACTCGGCCGCCTGCTACCGCCCGGAATCCCGCGTCTTCCCAGACAGCCATTTTCACCAACAAGTAGGCGGCCCGGTGCCCAGAGCGGGATCGTTCAAACCTCGTCTCCCTCCCAGCCCAGGTTTCCTCCGCCTCCTTGGAGATCGGTGACCAGCCGGCCGGGGACCCCGCAGAGTGACGCCTTTTATAAGTTTTGGAATGGACCAGAACCATTTGTTCCCGAACAAGCGATGCTGCGGGCCTGGCCTGTGCGGATCCCGGACACTAGCGAGTCCCCGGCAAAGGGGCCTGGGCGGGCGGCGCCGCAGCTCCAGGGCTCCAAGGGTGGCAGCACGGCCCCTGCCCCGGGGGCGCGGCGAGTGCTGCCTTCATTCTCGCCCTCCCGTCCCCGGGAGTCCAGCTCCCCGACCGCCCGCTGGACGGCGGGGCAGAGGTGGGGGGAGGGAGCCGGAGGGAAAGAAGGGGTCTGCCGATTTTCTTACCTAGCTCTCCGCCAGGAGTAGGACCGGGCTGGTTGGCCCGGGGAGGGGAAAAGGGTTAGGGGAGGGGGCGGGGAGAGGGGGGAGCCCTTGTGTGGTGTAGCTTCGGAGCAGCTCCCGCCGCCGCCACAGCCGCCGCCTCCTTTCCGATTCACTCAAACAAACAAGATGGCTGCCGTTACGCCGCGGCTCTTCCTGCCGCCCAAACCCTCGGTTCAAATCGGCAGGATGTTTACGGTCAAAATGGTACCTGTGCGCCTGCGCAGCCAGTCTAAGCCCTAGAACGCGCGACGCAGGCGCAGTGATCACTTCCTTTTCTTTGGACCCCGCCCTCTGCTTGTGGGTCCTGAAACTGAGCAAGCGCAAAGGTGATTAACTTGCTGGTGGGTCTTCAAGCCTTGCAAAGAGCGGACAAGTTGAGCACGCGCGGTCTTTGGCCATGAAGTGACTAGTGGAGTTAACTTTATTCTTGTACTTCTTTTAAGGGAGAGAATTTTTACTGTACAGCTTTGTGTACACCTGAGACAAAAATTAATTTTAATGGTTCTTTAACAACGAAGCTAATAAAAACTTTAACTTCGTAGATGGTAGAGATTTATTCATTCGGTCAAGTCAGTATCTATAGAAGGTCTTCTCTGTGCCACAGAATTTAGTGCTGAATACAAACAAAAATAATACCTGCCCTTATGAAGCTTGCAGATGGTAAAGAAGCATCTTCACAGTTTTACAAGTACTGTACTTACTTGTGCCAGGTAGAGGGGGAGGTCAAAGGAAGGAAAATGAGGTGGGACAAAATTGAGGAGAAGAGAAAGTGAAGGAAGTAGCCCATCTTAACTTCGGAGCTGGATCGCTAGAAAAAAGTTTCATTGAAATGTATTTTTGCAAAAGTCCTGTGACAGAGCAAAATGGGGTATTGTTGTCAGTTACTGTCTAGTCTGTTCCAACTTAAAGTGGCCCCATGTGTACAGGGTAGAATTGCATTCCATAGGGTTTTCAAGTGCCCCTTCAAAAGCATATCACCAGTCCTATCTTCCACAGCATCGCTGGGTGTGTTGGAACTATCAACATTTGGCATTTAACCATTTGCCTCACGCAGAGACTAAGATGGAGATGTTGTTGTGTGCTGTGGAGTTGTTTCCATCTCATAGTGACCCTGTATGGTTTCCTGGGGAGCATGGTGAGTCCATACAGATAAGCTAGACTGCGAACCACAAGGTCCTTGGTTTGAGCCCACCAGCCACTCAACAGGATGAGGTTTTCTGCTCCTGCAGATTGAAAGCCTCGGAACCCCTACACGGGTGGCTAAGAGTCGGAACCGACTGCATGGTACTTAACAGCGACAACATAGGGGTTCCTGGAATGACTGGGGGGTTTGAACTCCTGACCTTAGGAGTCCAGTGCTGTTCCTTATCCTACAGTGCCTCACCAGTGCTCAAGATGAGGGTTGTAGGTTCCAACTCAGTGACCCTGTATAAGGTTTCCGAGGAGTGGTTGGTGAGTTTGAACCACTGACCTTGCTGTTCCACTGGACCTTGCAGTCCAGTGCTTTATCCTACAATGCCATACCAGGACTCCAAGATGGAGGGGGTAGAGGAAAAGAAAGACCTTGTGGTTTGGGCACAAAGGGAGGCTGCTATATTTTGGGAATATTACCCTGGTATATTAATAGTGGATGTTGTTGTTGTTAAGTGCCGTCAAGTCGGTTCCGACCCATAGTGACCCTGTACAGGGTTTCCGAGGGTGTAAATCTTTACGGGAGCAGAAAGCCTCATCTTTCTCCCGTGGAACCTGGATATGCACATGCAATTTGCAGTTGTTCAGTTGAGAGATTTTGTTGTTGTTGGATTGGTTATGGGGAGTAAGAGAAGAAGTTGTGTGGATGATTCCTACATAGGGCTTGCAGAATTGGATAGACTGAACTGTGTGCCATCCAACGCGATGAGGCATGTGAGGTTTATGTCTGTTTTGCTTTTAATTTTTATCGATCTCAATGTCAGACTTTTATTTTCTCTCTCAATGGCTTCCTGACTGTTTTCCCTTCTTCTACTCTCTCATTCACAAACTCCTCTCAGTAGGAAATTTCAGTGTCTGCCACTTCAAAACCATCTGTTTAAAGTGTTCAACTCATAAATAACCTCCTAAAACCTATCCGTAGAGTCCCGGTGTGGCACTGTGAGTTAATGCGCCAGACTGCAAGTTGTTTGAACTGCATTGTCGGCAGTTCAAGCTCACCAGCTGTTCCTTGGAAACTCTAGACAGGGTTGCTATGGGTTGGAACCGACTCCACAACACTTAACACCACAGTCTTGTTAAGGATCCCAGGGATAAGACTACATTGTATAGTGAATCCTTTTTTGTTGATTTTAAATTTCAATTTTAATCTCTCAGAATTTAAATAAAAACAGTATCATCATGTTATAATCAATTTGTGGGCAAGTCTGATTATAACATTTAGATCTGCAGGTTTAGTTTTTCTCTAAAATTTTGTTTCTCTACCTTTGGAATCCTGGTGTGGTGTTAAATCACTGGAACTCAAGGTTGTTTGAACTACAAGGTCAGTGGTTCAAACCCACCAGCTGCTCCTTGGATACCTGTACAGGGTCACTATGAGTTAGAACTGATCTAATGACAGTTGACCTTTGAAGGATGGTTATGAGCTTTAGGTTCAAATTCTAGTGTTCTCCTTCCCAGTTAACCTACTATGTGCAATTCACTTCTCTGGAATTCCTTTTATCTCTTAACAGTGGGATACTACCCACTTCCCATACTCCTGGTATGGCGCTGTAGCATCAGCACTGGACTGTGAACCACCACTAGCTGCTCCTCAGAAATCCTATACAGGGTTGCTATGAGTAGGAAGTGACTCGTCAGAACTTAGCAGCAACAACACCCACTTTCCCTGACTGTTATAAAAATTAAATGAAGTGAAGCCAAGAGCAGATGTGAAGTCAATGTGCGTCCTGTACAAGCTGTACACTCCATGGCTCACTACTCTGCTGTGTTATGTACTTTGCAGTTCAAGCTTTATGTTGGGCATGCTGGTAGCCAGGTACCATCTAGTTCTTCATATAGCTTCTCTACATAAAAGTATCTAGTCCTCTAAACATGGTACATTGGATTCTTTTGAACGAAGTGTGTGTTCTGTTCCAACTTGGAGTCCCATCCTATCAACATACCCATTCATCTCCTTGTACTAAATAAAATGTCAAGACGCATTTACTTGTTGCAGAATTTAGCTGCAGTGTTGTATAGAGGAAATGCTACTTAGAATCAGATACTGTGGTTTGACTCTTAGCCCTGCCACCCAACTGCAGTTGCACCTTAGGGAATGCCTTCTCAATTTGCCCTGTAATAAGCTGACAAGGGCATCTGTGATACCTGGAAATGCTGATGTGGTGAATGCGCATTTGTCAACTTTTAGTAATTGTGACTTTGTTCCACTAAAACTATGGCCCGATAGAGTTAAATTACAGATTCCATCTTCCTTCTGCTTTTGATTCCTGACTACTCATTGGTAACATATATAACTCGGGGCAATCCAGAAACTAGTTGATGCCAATTGTTTTGAATACATTTTAAAAAGCAGCTGTATTTTCTTAGGCCTTACTATTTTGTGATGACACACACACACACACACACACACACACACACACACACACACACGAAAATTGTTAAAGAAATGGATGACCAATACATAGTAACAAAGTTCTTTAAAGTTTACACACATTTTGGTAAACTTGTTTCTCTGAACTGCTAGCCTTTTTAAACAGGATTCTCTGTAACATAAGAAAAAAATATAATAAGTAGGAAAAGTTAGAGGAGGAGAGGAATAAGGCAAGCTGATAGAGTTCAGGAATGTTTATTTCAATGTTAATAATTCATGGGGTTTTCATGAGTGGGAATTGATTATTTCTTTGTTGGGGTTTAATGTAGTATATTACATCTGAATCAAAAAGACAATTCAAAGTATAAAATATTTCTTGCATGACGTTTCTAAAGTTGATCAAAGAAAAGTCCAGAAAGAGGAAAATAGTCTGAAAATAACAGGAAAAACAATGAGAAAAATAGTCGATTCTACCTTTCCTACAAATGTCTATGTTCCTAAAAGAGAATAATATGGTGATAAAAAAAGGAATGCATTCTAAAAAAAAGTTCACAGTCGAAACATCAAACCCAGACAGACATGGCATAAAAGCAGAGGGATTAAACACAAAACCTTATATGAAATATAAATTCTTTTTTTTT